ATCCGTCAAAGACAGATCTAATGATGAATACGTACCAGTAGCAGGGTGTAAGTAAGTGTCGGAGTCATCATTAAAGATGCATAAATCATTATCGGAAACAAAATCCTCGATCACTTTACCCTTTTGATTAAGTATTGAACTTCCCCATAAAGGATTATGTCCATTTAGATCACCCATGATGACACAGGGCTTTGGGAGCTGGTCATATAGTTTTTGTAGATCATTACGCTGAAGATTTGAAGAAGGAGGAATGTATAAGGAGCAAAGTGTGAAGGCAATATGCAGTGTTATTCTAACTGCAACTGCCTGCAGAGTCGAGTCAAGCGGAACAGGACTGTGAACAACGCCCCGCCGCACTAAAATAGAAGCACCCCCAGTAGCTTTATCTCCCGGAGGAGAGAAGTAATGATATGAACTATACTGCTTTAAATCGAACTTATCTGTATTTTTAAGGTACGTCTCTTGTAAAGAAATTGCTGATGTATTTAAATCACTTGTTAATAACTGCAGTTCATTAAAATTATGGCGAAGTCCTCTGCAATTCCATTGCATTAGATTGGCCAATTGAGTCATGGTGGCTCAATTGGAGATCGCTCACGTGAATGGGAGGAGGAACTACTCCTCTGCCTGTCCTGTGAGGACAGAGTAACCTCCATGTCCAGAGGCCCAAAGGAGTTCTGTAAAGGAACCTCTGAAGGCGGAGGGACGGTTGGTAGTTGTTTTTTCTTCAATTTCTTTTTTTCTTTATTTGACAATTGAACAATGACTGGTTGTTTGACTGATGTTTGTGATAGTTTCTCAGCCTGAATCTCAGTCTGAGATCCTGAACTAGATACAACGATGCTAGGAATATCCTGATCTAATGGAACAGTCTCAACTGGTTGTTCTGACTTGACCCATGTCAAGTCAGTCTGGCACGAAATAGTTGATGTCGCAACAGAGCGAGTGACTGCAGCAGAGTAAGAAATATTTGAGGGAGTAGTGGTCTGATTTTTGAATATTTTTTTGGCATCCAAGTAGGATATGTTTCGTTCGCATTTCAGTTTCATGATTTGTGATTCCATTTGCCATACGGGGCATGATTTGGAAGAAGCAACATGTGGTCCAGAACAGTTGGCGCACTTCAAATCCTTCTCACAGTCAATGCTATCATGGCTGTCACCACACCGATGACATGCCACAGAGCTATGACAGGACTTTGATCCATGACCAAAACGTTGACACTTGTAGCATCGGAGCGGATTGGGGACATACACATCCACTCCGATACTGAAATAACCTGCTTTTATTGACTGTGGGAGGGTTGTACGAGCAAACGTCATAAGGTACGTATTTGTGTTCGTGATGACACCGTCTTTCTTGAATGTGAAGCGTCTAACTGCAGTTACAGCCTGGTCTCCCAACTCTGTAGTGATTTCGTCTTCAGACATGTCGGACAGACAACGAGCTCTGTCACGAACAATGCCTCGACAAGAATTTAATGTTCTGTGCTCAGACACAGCAACCTCAATATTTGCAAATGTAGAGATAGATAAAAGATTGAGAGATTGCTGTCTCCGAGCACACTCCACCAGAAGCGAACCACTACGGAGACGGGTAACGTTCTTCACCTCACCGCAAATCCCAGAAACAGCCTTAGAAATAGCAAAAGGATTGAGTTTGATGGGAAGGTTATCAGCAGCCTCCATAACCAGGAATCTAGCCCAGGTATCAATATTTTGAGCAATACTTCCAGTGGAAATATCGATTTCTTCTAATCTTCTCTTTTTTTCATTTCGAGATGAACCAGATTGTTGTTGAGCCATGATGAAAGAAAATTATTCAGCACCCCTGCTCCCCACCCGCCACCGAGTGTCACCAGGGACAGTGTTATGTTGCATCGGATATCCAGGATGCAAACACCAGGGATACAGGGATGTTATACTCCAGAGAATATGACGCGAACAGCTGTATTTGTTTACCAACTCAATGCCAGACTGGTTCGGCCCATGACAAGAAATTGAAAACATACATTATTCGGAGGTCAACATCACCAGATTGGCCCATGAGCCACCGCCTTCTGGCGTAAGACTCTAGGCAAGTAATTCAATTCACACAAGTTATGGATGACCAAGACCAAAATATACATTACAATACAACACAGGTGTGCATAGACAATATTACGCACAGGGCCTGGCATGACCAGCCGATTGATAAGACCGGGCCCATCTTACCACCCGTCTAGGCGAAGTAAGGGTCGAAGTAGTGTGTTGGGCAAAGGAACACAGTTCCAGGAACCAGTGCCCTCAACTACCAGACTCCCGTCCTCCGCCGACACAGGGACGCAACCCACGGCAAACGGGCTGCCCACTTTGGTCGCCTCTTACGACCAGCAATGGGGTGCTGTGGAAATATTCTACCCCGGTTCCACACGGGGGAAGAGCTATTAGCGCTACCCAGCACTCACCACGAGGAGGTTGCTCTTCACGAGTGCCTTCAACAGAGTGAACAGATTTGGAGTTTTGTTTAGGTGTACGTGCAACGGCTGCTGAATATGATACAACTGCAGTTGGAGTGGTAGATGACATTACCAAATGTTTGGCATCTGAAAAAGAAATATTCCTCTCATGTTTCAATTTTACTATCTGGTGTTGTTGTTGCCAGACAGGACAGGATTTAGAAGATGCAACATGATCTCCAGAGCAGTTAGCACATTTCGGATCGTTTGAGCAATCTAATGTATCATGGTCAGTTTGTCCACATCGGTGACACTTTTTTCTGTTGGTACATGATTGGGCACCATGCCCAAACTTTTGACATGAGTAATACCGGAGTGGATTCGGAATGTACTTGTCCACACCAATATTACAATAACCTGCTCTGATGGATTCGGAAGAGAAAAGGTAAAGAGATACGTGTTTAGCTTTTCAATTTGACCATTCAAATCGTTTGACACCTAAAACACCCTGTTCTTTTAGTTCAAAGGCTATATCATCTTCAGACATGTCTGAGAGACAACGTTCCCGATCCCTGACAATGCCTTTAGAACTGTTGAGTGATTTGTGTGCTGATACAGTAACTGGCACAGAAACGAGATGTTTAACAGCCAACAGCGTAGCTGATTGTGAAGCAGATTTACATTCAACCAGGATACAGCCAGATCGTATCTTTTTCATGGTCACGACGTCTCCAGCAATACCATAAATTGCTTTGGAAAGAGCAAAGGGATTTATCTTCAAAGGACCATCATCAGATGCTGAGATTACCAAAAATCGAGACCAAAAGTCAGACTTTTTCCTGGAAACAGGATCATCATCAGATGAACTATCATCTAACGTACGTTTTAGTTGTTTTGGGGGTATCATGGTAAGTGTATAGAGATTAATCGGCCGAGGTCCCCACCCACCACGGAGTATCAATAAGACAATATGCTATATGCCAGCGGGTCTCCAACTGACAACACCAAGGATACTGGGGCGATATACTCAAGCAGAAGTATTAATGCAAGATTAATAGATCCACCGGATTGGCCCATGAGCCACCGCCTTCTGGGCATATTTGACTCTAGGCAATGAGTAGTATTCATTTTTTTCAACATGTATTGAGATTAAATGAACTGAGTGACCAAGACCAAAAACTATACATTTAAATAGAACATATATGTGCAAAACAAAGAAACTTCACATTGTAATGAACTATGATAAATTCAATGAACTTGTCCAAGTTGAAAACAGATTAACTGCAACTGTTGACAGATTGTAGTTTGTTCAATTTTGTGCAAGACAATGTTAATGCACAGGGCTTGGCGTGACCAGCCGATTGATAGAACCGGGCCCATTCTACCACCCGTCTAGGTGAAGTTAGGGTCGAAGTGGTGTATTGGGCAAAGGAACGCTAATCCTGGAACCAGTGCCCTCAACCACCAGACTACCTTCCTCCACCGACACAGGGGCGCAACCCACGGCAAACAGGTTGCCCATTTTAGTCGCCTCATACGACCAGCAATGGGAGGCTGTGGAAATATTCTGCCCCGGTTCCACACGGGGGAAGAGCGATTAGCGTTACCCAGCACTCACCACGAGGAGGTTGCTCTTCACGAGTGCCCAATATTTCAGCTATATGACGGCCGTCTGTAAATAATTCAGTCTCGACAAGACAATCCAGTGATTGATATCATGAGCATCGAGCCTGCAACCCGATCCCGTAAGCCGTCTCTAACGACAAGCATAGTCACCTTTTAAGGCAAGCATGGGTTGCTGAAGACCTATTCTATCCCTGATTTTCGCGTGTTGACTGAACTTGTGAATAATGTTTAGATCTAACTAAGTTACTTCAGAGATGATGTATGTCATTGCATCGAACATGATGTTGAAAGAATTAAAAACCAGGTAATTTTCATAGCGTTTTTTTTGTGTGTAAGTTGGGACTGTAATATTAGGGGGGGGGGGGGTTGCAATTTTTAGAGTTGCAAGTCCAACAGGATTGGCAGTTTCAAAATCCAACGGGAACACTGGTAAAACACAGTTCTGTTGAAGTTGAAGGGACTTACGTAATTACTTCGAGTTATCCAAGGTTTGACACAACCATTAATGATGAATAAAGAAGGAATTCTCAGTTCATCAAAGTTCAACACAACAGTGTTTGACTATATCCTTGAATACAGATCTACATCTGCCTTGTTTATAAACAAACTTGGCTGATCATTCGCACATGTCATTCACACGCTAGTATATTTAATCATGTTGATCATAATTAGAAAATTGAAAATTATAAAAGGTGAATAACAATGATTTGAGATTTTTTGGTCTGGTGAATTCTACTTCACAATCATCAAAAAGCAAAGATTTCATTTTCACTCAACACTTGTATACCTACAATGGAGATTGTAGTAATATTTGGAGCAAAAGTATGATGACTAAAGTTGTTCATGTTATATATTGACTTCAACTGTAAATCCCTGAAAAGTTGACTTTGAACTGCTCCCTACATATGTCAAAAGTGATGTTATGTGCAATACTTACTTGATTCTCTCCTTCTGTGGTCACCGTAGAGACGAGAATTCCTGAAGTTTGCAGCAGATTGAGATATGGCCATTCTCTTTCTCAGGTCTTTCAATGGCATAGCCTTTATGCCAGTCTCACTAAAAGATAAACAGAATAGTGTCATTTGGGGTCAATTACGGATAAATATGCAAATTAAATAGGTCAGGTAGCTACTACTTTCAAACAAACATGGCTTCGCCCTTGTCTATCGGTGCCCAGGTCAGAGCTGACCATGTGTTTGTTAGCATTATCAAAAATAAATAGTCTGAGACGCCAAAAGTCAGTGTCTGAGAAACAAGTGTCAGCTGGAACTGTATCGCCTGTTGTCACGGTCTGACTAATTACTAACCTATTGACATAAACTAATGCACACACACCAGGAGTGAGTGAGTTAGGTGTTACACCGCTTTTAGCAATATTCCAGCAAATATCACAGCGGGGGACACCAGAAACGGGCTTCACACAGTGTACCCATGTTGGAAATTAAACCCGGGTCTTCGGCGTGACGAGCAAACGCTTAACCACAAGGCTATAACACCATCCCCATTAAAATGACAGGCAACAGAAACTATTCTCAGTTACAGAACAGCACAGACAGGTTAACTCCAACAAATCAGACAAAGAATGATTAAATACGTCACCTCCAAATGTCCAAATAAGTCAACCCTTTATTATTACCATGACAGCATGTGTATAAATCTAAATGTTTAGGTATGTGTGTCAGACCTCTAACTATTTAACCTATTTATAACGTGATATCCAAACAGTACTTCTGGTAAAATATTCAAAATATTTTCTGAATAATCAGATCTTACCTGGCAACGAAACCTGTCTTTAGAGGTAGATAGTCTTCTGTTTCTTCAAACACAGTCGACTGTTTCTTTATACAATGATCTGCCCATGAAATAAGGTGAGGTGAAATGTGGTCGCCATATTCAAGATTATTGCACTCCAATAACAATGCAGACATGAGTGTGCATGACTGTACTAGTCCTGATCAATGCCCGTTATATAGTGAAAGCCCGGTGAGATGCCATGATGCAAGTTAAACAGATACCCCACTCCAACACATCTAACAGTGTTCCTGTTTACTGGTAATTACCAGTTTTTTTTACCGGTAAAATTAGGCTCGGACCGGTAATTCATGTGACTGGCAGTCCCTGTGAACCGGCAAATAAAGTACCTTACAAATCTTTGTTGAACAAAACATCGTCGATATTCAAATAAGTATATTTTTGGAATGAAGTCAGCTTGTCTAGGGTTTCCCCTTGTCTATTTCTAGTGCAAGGAAATAACATTAAAGTTTATATTTGTAGCGACTTAGTCTCCAAATATTAAAAAAGAAGAAGAGAGAATTGTGACTGAACTTTGTGTGAATGACGTGTAATTCTAACTAAGCTACTTCAGAGATGACGTCATTGCATTGAACATGATGTTGAAGTAATTAAACCAGGTAATTTGCATACGTTTTTTTAATTGTTGAAAGTTGGGACTGACAAAAAGAAGAGGAGACTGGTACTTTTTAGAGTTGCCAGTCCATTGGACTTGCAGTTTCAAAAGCCCACGGGAACACTGAATTCTATCATCCCATACTGGCTTCCACAGCAGATGTCATTTAGAGGAGATCAAGGGATATCGCTACAATGAAATTTCATCACAATGCGTTGCAGATCATACCATCTGTAATATCTCTTCCGTTGAAGCTGTTACGCTATACTTTTTTACACTGGTTATTACTGTTTACAAACTGGAAATGTTAGTCAAAAGACTTTGGACTAAAAACAGAATCTCACCCAATAAAATCCTTCACAAGCTGTAGAGCTTTAAAGTTTTAAAGACAAGTGTTGACATATTGGATATGAAAACACACTCAGGTGGGAATCTCTATATTATGAATCAATATATTACAAGAAATGAGTGAATGAGTATTGTTTTATACCACCTTTAGCATTATTCCAGAATTATTATGGTAGGGGACAACAAAAATAATATGACAAAGATACTAATCTATTAATATATTACATATATCACAATACAATATATGAATTACAAGTAACAGGGCCGAAAATTTGACATGTACACTGTATATGCATTATGCTCAATTACTTTAAAGAAAGAACGTAATCATGGACATAAATACAACAAAATTTGTCAGAATTGACAATGGAATGGTTACCCTGTTTTTTGCCTTCATGTTTCTTTTTTTCCTTCTTTTTCTGTTTTCCTTTATCTGTTTCCTTCTTTTCCTCACTGAGTTTTTCTGGAAGACTGTTCAGAATTTCATCCGGCAAGCGAGACACAGCTTCCAACTTTATCCGCTTCAAGAACATAAAGTTAAGTAGTATCATTGACAAAGTTCTAAGTAGCACATAAAGTCAGAGAAATATTGGTTCAGGAACAAATTTTGAAAAAAACTTAACAGGTGGGTTAAGTGAAATTGGTTTTTTACTGTGTGTTCAAGATTATTGCCCCCATATAGCAGTGTGCATGCATGTGTGTGGCTGGTTGTTCTGGCCAATTTCATAGTGCCAGTCCACTGAGATACCATAGGTCAGTTTTACATGGATACCCCACGAAGACAGTATTCAGACTTTGAGTCGACCAGCGCCAAGCAGGGTAACAAGATGAACCATCTATTAACGTCTTTTGGTTTGATGCAACCGGGGATCAAACCACTGACGCTCTATCCAACACCAATTTGGAAAAACGTGTAGCAGCCACAAAATGTCCGAGTCCCTTGATGGGATGCGAACGATGGACCTTCTGATCTGATGTCGGACATGACCAAATCTTGATCTTGTGTACATGACAAGAAGTTAAGATACAAAGATGTTAATCCCGTCAGCAAGTTGACAAGGTGAGGATGTCATCTGTGGACATTCTTGCCCTCAATAAACGGACAAGCCTTATACAGCACACTAACTACCTTTTGTTCCCTAAACTTTTCATCTCTCTGTTTTCTATTTGCTTTCAATTGGAGTTTTTCCTCTTTTATCTGTGTAATTGCTTGTCTCATCTGGGATAGGGCTGTTGCCCGGGTCTCTGAGAAGCCCACATCCTCAGGAGCAGCATCACGGTCATCCTCGTCACTGGCAACATCATCATGGGCTAATTCCAAGTCCTCATCATCATTTGATGAACCTTCTCCAGCGGACACTGCAACCAATACTTTGTTTGTTGTTTAAAGCCACACTCAGCTAAAGTCCAGCAACTTGTTGGCTGCATGTAAATAATCTAGTCTGGACCAGACATTCCAGTAAACAATATTATGAACAATATTATGAGCAACAATCCACAACATTGGGTGTACAATGACAATCAAATTCATTTAAAGAGGCAACATAGCTCACAACTCTAACCCTAAGGATCGTAAATAGTTGTTTAATTGGCAAGGGACCCTCAACCCTAAGGAACATGAGGGGGTCCGTGATTGGAAAGGGGATCCTACACTGAAGCTGGAGGCAATTAATGAGTGAGTGAGTTTGGTTTTACGCCGCTTTTAGCAATATTCCAGCAATATCACGGCGGGGGACACCAGAAATGGGCTTCACAAGGAGGCAATTGGTAAGGAAATGTCGTAAAAATGGTTTAGCAACAAAATAAAATGCATGTTCGTTTCCAAACTATTTCAATGTCTTTGTCTAGTTTACGGATATTGTCGTAGCTCTTAATTATCTGAAGTATTAGTTTTGGGGCTCTTTTGTGTTTTTGTTTTTAATAGCCTGGGGCCCAATTATGAGTCGGTTTCTTTATTTAGTTTGGTGGAGGGAGAAATGTCGATTTGGGGAATGAAAGAGTTGTTTGGTGCTGTGTTTAGTTTTAGAGCATTCAGGTTGAGGGTATTTAAGTAGTTTTGTAATCTTGAACGCGACGTTCAATCTCTTACGACAAGCATAGTCACCTTTTACGGCAAGTATAGTCGCCTTTTACGGCAAGCATAGTCACCTTTTACGGCAAGCATAGTCACCTTTTACGGCAAGCATAGTCGCCTTTTACGGCAAGCATAGTCGCCTTTTACGGCAAGCATAGTCGCCTTTTGCGGCAAGCATAGTCGCCTTTTGCGGCAAGCATAGTCGCCTTTTGCGGCAAGCATAGTCGCCTTTTGCGGCAAGCATAGTCGCCTTTTACGGCAAGCATAGTCGCCTTTTACGACAAGCATAGTCACCTTTTACGGCAAGCATAGTCACCTTTTGCGGCAAGCATAGTCACCTTTTACGGCAAGCATGGGTTGCTGAAGACCTACTCTACCCCTGATCTTAACGGGGGGTAGTAGAGGTAGAGGTAGAGGTAGAGGTAGTGGTAGTGGTAGTGGTAGTGGTAGTGACGGTCGTAGTACATCATTCTACCAGCAGCTGGTTTGCCTGTTCAGATTACTGACAGCCTGCAATGAAAGTGGGAGACTTACCTGAACATTTCCTGAACACAGAAACGTATGAATTAAACAGGATAACAGTGTCACATGTTGAATTATATAACGCTAAACGACCCTTGTCGTAAAAGGCAACTAACGGGATCAGGTGGTCAGGCTCGCTGACTTGGTTGATGCATGTCATCGGTCCCAATTTCGTGGATCGATGCTCATGATATCAATCACTGCATTGTCTGGTCCAGACTCGATTATTTACAGACCGTCGTCATATAACTGGAATATTGCTGAGTGGTGCGTTTAACAACAAACCAACCAACCAACTATACTCACAAAACGATATTTTCAAAAGTTATTGTATTAAAAATAAATCATATAAAGAGGAAGTGAGGTGAAATGGGGTCGTACTCATATAGCGACGTGCCTTTATAGTTAGTCCGGACTGATGGCGAATTTATAGTGCTAGCCTATTGAGCTACCAAACCTCAGTTTAACATGTATACCACACTCAGACACAGTGTATTGACTCAGAGACGGCCAGTCCCTGTTTTAGCCCCTTAATGCTGAAGCCCGTGAAGGTCCGGGGTAGTATAGGTCTTCAGCAACCCATACTTACCGTAAAAGGTGACTATGCTTGTCGTAAAAGGCGACTAACGGGATCGGGTGGTCAGACTCGCTGACTTGGTTGATGCATGTCATCGATCCCAATTTCGTGGATCGATGCTCATGATATCAATCACTGCATTGTCTTGTACAGACTCGATTATTTACAGACCGTCGTCGTATAACTGGAATATTGCTGAGTGCGGCGTAAAACAACAAACCAAGCAACAGCCAACCTTAATGCTGAGCGCCAGACAGGGAAACAACAAGTACCATCTTGTAACGCCTTTTGGTATGACCCCGCCTTTCGCCCTCCGGACAGACGCTCTACCACTAGACCACGGAGGCGGTCTACCAATGTGAGGAATGGAACCGGTCTTCGGCTGGCCGAGCGAATGCTTTATCCCACAGGTTACCCACCCTCCTCCCTCTAAAATGAGACTCAATCCCCTGCTTTATTTAAAACAGTTATGTGCCTTTTTCTTACAGAAAGTGTATTATCGAGGAGTCAAATGTCTGTGTAAAGTCAACTAATCTCAAACCTTTATCAAGTTCCTCCACCCCCCGACCCACCCCCCATCCCCCACCCCCTTGAAATCAAATGGATGCTCCTTCGGGTTGGAGTATGAAACATGGATACTTCCACAGGCGCATCGGGCATCTCGTTTTACGATCTCTGCACACCTCCATACTTCTTCTAGCGATTATTTCCACCTATTTGTTTCCAGCCATCATGTTCTCTTTTTTCACCTCTCTCGGATTGGCCCCGCAGGTCTCTCAGACCGGACCCCAGGGACCTACGAACCGGGGCACCTCCCAGGGACCGCAGGCGACCCAGGGCACATCCCAGGTACCTCCAGCGACCCAGGGCACCTCCCAGGTACCTCCAGCGACCCAGGGCACCTCCCAGGTACCTCCAGCGACCCAGGGCACCTCCCAGGGACCTCCAGCGACCCAGGGCACCTCCCAGGCACCTGCGGCGACACAGGGCTCCTCTCAGGCACCTCCAGTGACCCAGGGCACCTCCCAGGGACCCCGAGCGACCCAGGGCACCTCCCAGGCACCTCCAGCGACCCAGGGCACCCCCAGGCACAGCAGGCGGACCAGACGCCGTCAACATCCAGGATGTCGTCGACCTCCTCGACGCCATTCGCCACCCCGATGACGACGACACCAGCAGCAAGGAGGCGGTCAGCAGTGCCAGGCCGTCGGGGGGCGGCACCAATGAATGTGAGTAAATAGTTTTGGTTTAATATGTCTGCTTCAACTCATTCAACCAGTTCCACAAGTTCTATACATGCCTACTCCGTCTTACTCCTATGCTAGTTTTACATATTAGTCTGTGATATTCTAGTTATTTTAGTGTAAATTCATTCACTCACTCACTCACTCAGTCCTTAACATACGCCTTGAACACATAGGTGAAGCATTATAACTGCAATAGGCTGACATCTTACATTTGTTGTGTGGCAGCTTGTCGAGACCGAGCTCCGCCAGCTCCGCGAGGAGAACCGGCGACTGAGGGGGGAGAACTGGCGACTGAGGGAGGAGAACCGGCGACTGAGGGAGGAGAACCGGCGACTGAGGGAGGAGAACCGGCGACTGAGGGGGGAGAACCGGCGACTGAGGGGGGAGAACCGGCGACTGAGGGAGGAGAACCGGCGACTGAGGGGGGAGAACCGGCAGGCAATTGAGGAGAACCGGCGACTGAGGGAGGAGAACCGGCGACTGAGGGGGGAGAACCGGCGACTGAGGGGGGAGAACCGGCAGGCAATGGAGGAGAACCGGCGACTGAGGGAGGAGAACCGGCGACTGAGGGGGGAGAACCGGCGACTGAGGGGGGAGAACCGGCGACTAATGGGGGAGAACCGGCAGGCAATGGAGGAGGTTCGACAGGCAACGGTGGAGGTTCGACAGGCAAAGGAGGAGATTAGGCAGGTGAAGGAGGAGAACAGGCGACTGAAGGCAATTGTAAGCGAGGAGTCAAATGTCTGTGTAGAGTCAACTAATCTCAAACCTTTATCAAGTTCCTCCACCCCCCGACCCACCCCCCGACCCACCCCCCATCCCCCACCCCCTTGAAATCAAATGGATGCTCCTTCGGGTTGGAGTATGAAACATGGATACTTCCACAGGCGCATCGGGCATCTCGTTTTACGATCTCTGCACACCTCCATACTTCTTCTAGCGATTATTTCCACCTATTTGTTTCCAGCTATCATGTTCTCTTTTTTCATTTCTCTCGGATTGGCCCCGCAGGTCTCTCAGACCGGACCCCAGGGACCTACGACCCAGGGCACCTCCCAGGGACCGCAGGCGACCCAGGGCACCTCCCAGGGACCGCAGGCGACCCAGGGCACCTCCCAGGTACCTCCAGCGACCCAGGGCACCTCCCAGGCACCTCCAGCGACCCAGGGCACCTCCCAGGCACCTCCGGCGACCCAGGGCACCTTCCAGGTACCTCCAGCGACCCAGGGCACCTCCCAGGGACCCCGAGCGACCCAGGGCACCCCCCAGGCACAGCAGGCGGACCAGACGCCGTCAACATCCAGGATGTCGTCGACCTCCTCGACGCCATTCGCCACCCCGATGACGACGACACCAGCAGCAAGGAGGCGGTCAGCAGTGCCAGGCCGTCGGGGGGCGGCACCAATGAATGTGAGTAAATAGTTTTGGTTTAATATGTCTGCTTCAACTCATTCAACCAGTTCCACTAGTTCTATACATGCCTACTCCGTCTTACTCCTATGCTAGTTTTACATATTAGTCTGTGATATTCTAGTTATTTTAGTGTAAATTCATTCACTCACTCACTCACTCAGTCCTTAACATACGCCTTGAACACATAGGTGAAGCATTATAACTGCAATAGGCTGACATCTTACATTTGTTGTGTGGCAGCTTGTCGAGACCGAGCTCCGCCAGCTCCGCGAGGAGAACCGGCGACTGAGGGGGGAGAACTGGCGACTGAGGGAGGAGAACCGGCGACTGAGGGAGGAGAACCGGCGACTGAGGGAGGAGAACCGGCGACTGAGGGGGGAGAACCGGCGACTGAGGGGGGAGAACCGGCAGGCAATGGAGGAGGTTCGACAGGCAACGATGGTGGTTCGACAGGCTAAGGAGGACGTTAGGCAGGTGAAGGAGGAGAACAGGCGACTGAAGGAGGAGAACCGGCGACTGAAGGAGGAGAACCGGCGACTGAAGGAGGAGAACCGTCGACTGAGGGAGGAGAACCGGCGACTGAAGGAGGAGAACCGGCGACTGAAGGAGGAGAACCGGCGACTGAGGGAGGATAACCGGCGACTGAGGGGGGAGAACCGGCAGGCAATGGAGGAGAACCGGCGACTGAGGGGGGAGAACCGGCGACTAATGGAGGAGAACCGGCAGGCAATGGAGGAGAACCGGCGACCAAGGGGGGAGAACCGGCGACCGAGGGGGGAGAACCGGCGACTGAGGGGGGAGAACCGGCAGGCAATGGAGGAGAACCGGCGACTGAGGGGGGAGAACTGGCGACTGAGGGGGGAGAACCGGCAGGCAATGGAGGAGAACCGGCGACCAAGGGGGGAGAACCGGCAGGCAATGGAGGAGAACCGGCGACCAAGGGGGGAGAACCGGCGACTGAGGGGGGAGAGAACCAGCGACTGAGGGAGGAGAACCGGCGACTGAGTGAGTGAGTACCGGCGACTGAGGGTGGAGAACCGGCGACTGAGGGAGGAGAACCGGCGACTGAGGGTGGAGAACCGGCGACTGAGGGTGGAGAACCGGCGACTGAGGGAGGAGAACCGGCGACTGAGGGTGGAGAACCGGCGACTGAGGGAGGAGAACCGGCGACTGAGGGAGGAGAACCGGCGACTGAAGGAGGAGAACCGGCGACTGAGGGGGGAGAACCGGCGACTGAGGGAGGAGAACCGGCGACTGAGGGGGGAGAACCGGCGACTGAGGGGGGAAAACCGGCGACTGAGGGGGGAGAACCGGCAGGCAATGGAGGAGAACCGGCGACTGAGTGAGTGAGTAAAATTTTAAGTCACATCGGCAGTTTTTCAGCCATATCGTGACTATCAAAAGTTAAATATAATACATACATTGAAACTTGTATAAAAACCTGCCAACGAGGCCGGCGACTGAGGGGGGAGAACCGGCAGGCAATGGAGGAGAACCGGCGACTGAGGGGGGAGAACCGGCGACTGAGGGGGGAGAACTGGCGACTGAGGGAGGAAGAACCGGCGACTGAGGGAGGAGTACCGGCGACTGAGGGGGAAGAACCGGCGACTGAGGGAGGAGAACCGGCGACTGAGGGGGGAGAACCGGCGACTGAGGGGGGAGAACCGGCGACTAAGGGGGGAGAACCGGCAGGCAATGGAGGAGGTTCGACAGGCAACGGTGGAGGTTCGACAGGCAAAGGAGGAGATTAGGCAGGTGAAGGAGGAGAACAGGCGACTGAAGGCAATTGTAAGCGAGACAAGAATGAATTCAGGTTTAACACCAATGTGAACATCATAATAGTCTTGTGGTGGGTGACACCTTGATGTTGACTCAGACCTACCTGCAGTGTTGGAGCTACGTCTTCTGTCTGCACAATGACGTTATTGAGTCTCTGACATAACTCTTCGACTATTTATATAACTACTAGATAAATTGTAATCAAACTTCATAATTATGAAAACGAGATATGTGCTCATCAATTCGTATTCCAGTCTACATGTACTTAGGAAATGAGCTAGGGCAAAATGAAGCCTTTCACATTCAGTTCATAACTCATATTGGTGACTTATCGTTGTTTTATTGCCAGGGCTATAGTTACTGTAGTCATATATTGTTAAATATAAATCTCCCTGAAGAAACAAAGCATGTTTTAGGGTCGGTAACAGGCATGGAAAACATTTGTTTGGGCCACCTGAATTTGGCCAGGCACGCTACACGATATACATAACGAGCACGTGCACTGTCTGTATACATGCATGTACACACCTACTCTTACATTCCTTCTTAGGCTTTCACGTCGGCAGCTTCCACCTCCACAGCTTCCACCTCGGCAGCTTCCACCTCGGCAGCTTCCACCTCGGCAGCTTCCACATCGACAGGTTCCGCACCAGTGACGGCAGGGACAGCAGTAACTTTGGGGACTTTAGCGACAGCGACGGTTCCAACTGTGAGTTAATTCTCATTGACAGTATAAGAGTCATCTTTTTTTACTAACTCTTTTGCCATGTAGCCTAAGATGCCTGAATTTATCGTCCTTGACATTGTCAAAGGACCTCAATTTAGGGCTTAGCTTCACCATCGCGTTTTCTTCCTCCCCTGAGCATTTCAGTTAAACCTCGTATTCAACACTCCTGTGCATAGCAACACAAAGTTCCACTAAAACATCTCGTGATTCCGGGATAGAATGGCCCACAGCAACATATACTGCTCGTTAGGGGCGACTTAGTGGATCGGGGGGATCAGGCTAGGTGACTTTGTGGATTGGGGGGTCAGGCTAGGAGGCTAGGTGACTTTGTGGATCGGGGGACCAGGCTAGGTGAGTTTGTGGATCGGGGGGGATCAGGCTAGGTGACTTTGTGGATCGGGGGATCAGGCTAGGTGACTTTGTGGATCGGGGGACCAGGCTAGGTGACTTTGTGGATCGGGGGGGGGGGGGGGGGGGGGTGTCAGGCTAGGTGACTTAATTGATTTCCTACATCGTACATCGACGCCGTGGACCGATGCTCACAATATCGATCACATGGTCATGATTTTGTACATTCTGTTGTTTAACGCCACACTCAGCAATATTCCAGCCACACGAGACCCTAGCATGGTGATCTACATTCAGTTGTTGACGATGTTTAGACCTTTTTTATATTGTTTTATTACATATATTGATATCTGTTTATGGTTGTATGCTAGTTTTATATATTTTTCTGTGATATTCTATTGATCATACTGTCCATCGATGACAGCTTTTTAGATGTGACGTTAAATATTAACTCGCTCACTACAGCCACATGACATCGATCTGTAAATACTCGAGAGGCGATTAACAGGATCGGGTTGTCAAGCCAGCTGACTTGGTTGATGCCTGTCCTATCCCAATTCAGTTGATCGATGCTCATGATGTCAATCACCAGACTGTCAGTACTGTTTACAGATCGCCGTCACAAAGCTGCACTATATAGTACAGACAGTAATTTATATAAATAAATACTTCGCCACTAGAAAAGTATAATTATATCTTATAATTGGGTATTTTTTTCTCTCAGAATCAGGCTGCCAACAATAGGCGAGATCAACGACATAGGCAGAGGACGGTAGCCATGATTCGTCAGCAACAGCAGCAACAGCGTCAACAGCAAAGACGAATGGAACAGCAAAGGCAGGCTCGCGACCAGCAGCAACAACAACAACAACCCTACCAGGCTCTGCTGCGTGTTTTAGATGAGGCACAAAGGACTTCGGTGAGATTTGGTTTCATCTCTTGTCAATTGACTTCCATACCCAACGGTTGTAGAAGTACTGGTTTTACCAGCACCTCTCGAAAGTTTCCATTTTCCCATTCAATACATTCACAGATATTCTCTGTAACTGCCCTTGCAGACCCAATTCTGCTGCTACATCTGCATTGATGTACGAACTTGTGCTAGCATCATCCAACAATGCATTCACAGTGACATGTTTGTTGCCATTTGAAAGTATCACTGGTACCGTTCTAAGTGCTATTACAGCCTTTTGTACTACACTAGGTAAGATGGCACGAGACCTTTCACCTTCACCCTTTTGAATCTCTTTAGTTTCATTTCCAGTCTCAGTACATTCACCTTCTAACCCGGTAGAACTGTTTGATCCTTTATCACGCATATCAGACTATTACCTTTGTCATTGTGCAACAATCTATTGTGGCTGCTTTTACATCCACTAATGCCACATTGTGCCATACGTTTACATGTTTTATCACTATGATTTCTACCAAGACACCTGAAGCAAAGATTTGCTTTCTTAGGAACATCCCATCTTTCAGAAATCTCCATGCCTCTAGAGACATTACATCTCCATATTTCATGATGTTCTTTACAAAGACTGCAGCTTCTATCTCTACAACCTTTTCTTTTGATCTGATTGGTGAACCTTTTGATCTGACTTACCTTTTTAGCAACACCATGAATTGCCTCTGAAGCAATGGTAAGGAACTCTGCTTCCTGTATAACCCACATTCTCAAAGCTTCAACAGACTCCTGTCTCTCCGTTTCATAAACCCACCTCTGATAACGTGCAACCATTGGCTCTGTCATCTTTTTAAGTAGGCTAGAGTAGAACAACCCCTTTCCTAACTCTCCGAATCTATCATTTTCTTTCAGATTAACAACTGCAACATCTAAAATGTCTGCAAACCTTTCAACATCTCTGGCAACACCTTCACGAATAGGTTTGAAGTTACTCAATTCTTCCATATGAATGGCTATTTGACGCCGTCTACCGCCATATTTTCTCTCTAACCTGTCTAATGCAACATCATAGGCAACAGCACTATGGCCTAAACTTTCAACTACTTTCAATGCTTCACCTGAAAGATACTGTCGCAACTTGAGGAGTTTGTATACGGAAGTTGCAGGAGACTGATCTATACATGTCAAGACATATGAGAGTTGGAAGGCTGCCTTCATGACATCTCCATAAAACACAGGTATCGAAACACGTTTTAGTTGTTTCCACATATCATTACCAACAGTGATATGTTGCTTTTCTGTGTTTTCAAACTTACCTTCATTGCGATTAGGAAACTCATGCTGATCATCATTGTCACACAAGCCCCCCATCCCCATGTTTCCTTCATTTTCATATGCTACTGTCTGTTTCACCTCATTTTTGTGATCATATTTCTGTTCATCTTTGGTATGACCTACTTTCACATCACGTGTTGCCTTGCCATTTTCATCGAGGTCATGTCTTTGTCCTACAACTACAGTTTGACCTCTACGAAGGTCAGGCTTTTTATCCCCTTTGAACAACCTGTACAATCTATGGCTGGACAGAGAACTAGTACTTGAACCACTATCTAAGTACGCCTGTGCTATGTCTATCACTTCAGACGTTTCACATTCAAGTTTTGATATTTCAGCATCAACCTTGTTCACATTCTCTATATCATGAACATCTGTGTAAGCCTGCGTAAGTTTTACCATAACATCCATGACTTCCACCTGAAGAGAACTCACTTCATCAATGCCTATTCTAACTGCTTTTCGTGTTGACATATCTTGTTCAACAAGAGTATTCAGCTTTTTTTTCCCTTTGTAAACGCACATTTAGCTTTTGCTTTTTGCTGTTTAAGGCTACGAATAAGCTGTTCTAATTCTTCATTTGCTTCATTTGAAGGCTCCATCTTTTCGCTTCCCTTTTGGGAAGTGTTTGACTTTTGGTCCGACATAACTTGAGAAACAACTGTTGCAATGATAATTTCAAACTAAAATCAATATTGATATTCAAACTCACCGGTTTCCTATTCTAGTAAGTTGAAAAGCAACTGAAACCTTTTAGCATTAAAGAAACCACGGACCTTTGGGTTCTGGGCCCAGCACGCTTCCACTGTTTTAGCATTAAAGAAACCACGCTCTGCTACCATAAAATGGAGTGAAGATAACCCCTAAATTCATAACAAACTATTGAAACAA